GCGCAAATAACTTTGATTTGAGTTTATACTACAATGTAAAATTTCGTTATAAAGTACCGCGTACTGTGTGGCTGCGCGTACGCGTTTTAGCCGCGCCTCTTGGTCACGATCCAGTGCGTTTACGTCAAAAGCACACACGCGCAAAAAACGGAGCTATAATAATTTAGCTATATGCTTTATTGTTTACTTGTACCTATTTTAGTATTAGTAATGTAGTCGTTAGAAATTTCATGATGTTGCGCTAACTCATTGGCATATAAAAAATTATCTGTACAATCTGTGCCCTAAGATATCTGACCTTACGCGTCTGAGAGCATTCTTACGCATTCAATAGAAAAGTGCAAAAGAATTACCGCTTTTTGGTTGAAAGTATATGTTATATAATGTAATTTTTTTTAATTAAAAATTTTTTTAAAGTGTCATTCATTAATGATGCATTAAGGAAGTGTAACAGTCATTTGTTTCGCAACATTAATTGACACCAGCCCGTTGGACCAAGTACCAAGTAATTATTGTACTCGAACGCATCTTCTCTCGAACTGTCACTTTTTGGTTGCACCTAAGAAAAGAACGCAATTACTATGACTGTAACATTAACTATTTGTAAACACTATATTTTGATATGCGTGGATTCAATTGACAAGCGTGTGAAGAGGCTTATAGGTGACTCAGAATTAGTGGAGGCGAAGCTGCAAAGCCTTGAACACCGTCGCAAAGTGGCCTGCTTATCAGTATTCTACAGGATATATCACGGAGAGTGTGCGAGAGAATAGCACAAATTAATTCCGCCTTCCCCTTTTCATCACCGGGGGACTAGCGCTTGGGTTTCACCTCTACGTTGTGGATATTCCAAAGATGCGAATCTTTACGAAGCGTTACGCTTCCACATTTATATGGCGAACGGCTATGTAGTGGAATTACCTGCCTGCAGACATGTTCCCTGAATGTTATAACTTGGGCCTTTTCAAGGCGAGAGTGAGTAGGCATTATTTAGGTGTGTATGCTTCATCGTCACTTTCCAGCAGGTGAGATGGAGGTCAAATGCGCACTTATAATTTATAAATAAAAAAAAAGAAAGAACAAACTATTTGTAATTTTTTCTGGAATATAAGTGCCTTGTTGTTGGGATTTTAGTAGTCTTCATTGAAGATTCTATTCTAAACTCTTACAGAAGTGATATCGAAATGAATTTTACGGCTTACAAGGTAAAGGTTAAATTTGTTTAACACCCTTCGTCACACAGAACCAAATCCTCCGCCCATTTGCTTGGTGCAGCAAGCGTACAACTACAGGTGAAGACTGAAAATCAGCAATGCTGAGTCTTTAACCTTTTTGTCCACATCACTCAATTGTTTTTTTCTATTCGTTTTTTAAGTATTGTGTTCCTTATGTTTTGTGGAGAAATAAATGTCTTTATTAATTTTATTTTGAATAGCCGGTTAGAGGGTCAGGTATCCTATGGCATTGACTGTATAACCAGAAATAGAGACGAAACAAGGCATCCATCCCTGGCAGCTCATCAGTCAAATGGTACTGACTATGATGATATATGACTGATATGACTTAAATATCAACTAAAACTGTAAAATTCAATTTTGATTTTAATTAAGTTTAAGTTTTAAAATTGAGTTTGAAAACGGAACGCAAATATTTTAAAACAGTCGTGAAAAACTGAACTAAAACACCGACCGTCAGACGACGAAGTAATAACAATCGATTGTTATAACAATGGAGACAAGAACATCCTAAAGTTTTTAAATTCTGTTCGCCTTGTGCTCTACAAGTAATTTAGAATTAAGCAACATTGAGACTAGAGTAAGTTGTAATTTACATAAGAATATTAGGCGTGTATCTGCACCCGACGAGCGAGGTATACTAAATGTTCATTCACATTTATTTGTTCTTCGCCTCGGCAATGGCTATTAACACGCTTCTATGGAATTTAGTCAAAGTAATTGTTAGAGAGCTATAGACCTCTTCTTTCGAGATTTAATTAGTCATTAGTAATTTAATTAGGGGATCACAAAAATCGCACATTTTAGGTTAAAATCCTTGCAAATCCCAGTTTTTTGGGATTTTAACTATAAATATTAAACAACATCAGATACACAGTTCTGATCTGATTAATATAGTCTCAATTACAAAAAAAAAATATGGTCGTATAGACGTAGTGCTACACAAGTCCGGCTTTAATATATTTAATTAGCTATTCTAGCAAAAATAATATAGTAATATAGTACTGTAGTCTAGGCTCTACTCTATGAGTAGAATCTCTGGCTGAATGAATAGTTTTGTAATTATAATGTGTTATAAAAAAGGAAGTAAGAAAAGAATGGAACATCTTGATAGATATCGAAATGTAACCCAACACTATAAGCATATAAAAAAAGTACAATAAACCATGTTTTGAAGATTATTCCACTTTAAATTCATAAAAGTACCTCTCGCTACGCAATCCGAGCTACGTCCCAGTTACAATACAATAGACGAGATCAACAAGTCGTGCGTCTGGTGCTAAGCGAAACAACATCTCTCGTGCTACTCAGTGTTTTAAATAGAAAGACTTGAGGGGCACTCCCGCTGCATCCGTCACTCTGAGACAAAGTTGTCAAAACTGGAACCCAGTAATACACACATTACTGCTTGACAGCAGAAATAGGTACGGTGCGGTGGCATTACTTTCCCGAACGAACTCTTTCGAAGGAGTTCTATTGAATGAATGAATAATTAAATGTGACAAAGTATGTCACACTCGAAAGAAACTTCCTCGTGTCCTATTTGACGGAGTATTCAGCCAATGCGATATTTAACACGCATTAATTTTAGAAATAGGCAAGTGTTGTTTTTCACTCGATCTCGATTACTATACAGCTGCGACAAAAAGGTTCGCCACTATTTTGGCTGCTGGTTTTGAACTGTCATAAATAATAATAATGAGTTGAGAGACTTTATTAATTTCCGACAAACAACTGCAAAGACGAATATATTTCATAGAAACAAAAAAAGTTGGTTGTTCAACAAGTCTGCGTCAGGCGGACATTTCGATACCTCTAACATTTCGCTCGCGTTGGGGGGCACGTAAAAGTGAGATACTAGAAAATTGAAAATAAAGTTTAAATGTTATAATATCTTTTTAATATTTATAGTATGACACTTATATACTATATTATTTTGTTTGTTCTATAATTTATCTAAAAGATTCAGGTGTTATTCTTATTTTAAAACAATTTTATTAGAAACTTTTGAAAAAAAAAAAATTTCCTTGTGTTATCCACCTTTGTTGCACCAAACCGGTAAATTAATGGGGCGTTCGTTTTATTATTGGTTTTCAAGGAAATAAATTGTGAATCTAGTCTTATTTAAAAGTTACATTGATAAAAAATTAGACTCATTTTTAATAATTCATTACATTCGCTGGATTGTAATGAATAAACAGAATCATCTTCAGCAGGTCTCACTGACCTCCTAGATGAATGTTGAGGATGAAGTCGCTTGTTTCAGACATTTTTTTACATTAAAATAAGTTTTTACAAACTGCAAGTGGTAACGTGTCCGAAATTCAAACGCACATTTATAATCCATGCAACAAGGCCGAGCGCCATCTTTTAAATGAATGAAAGTTACGCCATCTAGAAGGGAGATCGAAATTAGTTTTTGTCACAAGATAGGTTTTACATGTACGAGCTTTGTGTGCGGAACGTCCTTATTGTTTCCAATGCTTCAATGCTACTTTCGTGATTCTTCGACTAATCCAACATTCAATATATTATTGAACTGGATAAACTTACATAAAGGAAAAATATGAGAGGTATACTTTAAAAGGTTATTTATGTTAGTGGGGCGGGGAAATTTTGAAGGCAATAAGTTATAAAGCACGATAGAGATATTAGAGCATTGAAAAATATGTGTTCCAAGTACTTTACTTATATATATTAGAGGAAAATTTAGAATAATAATAATTGGATGTCATAAGGAAATGAATGAAGAGATCGGAAAAGAAAAGCTGAAAGTAAGAACTTGAAACGTTTTCTAGAACAGTAAACGTGAACGAGCGATTTTGTATACCTTGGATCTTTACTTACCAACCAGGGCGGAAGTGAACGAGAGATCAAGAGACGGATTCAAATGGCCTAAGTCTGGCATCTGGCATCGCATCTGGCATAGCAGAAAAGTCTCCAACGTTACCAAATCCAGACGAGGCCGGTCATTGGTTTTCTCAATTTTCCTATATGGCTCAAAGTCGTGGACGAAACGCAAAAAAAATAAACGCTTTCGAGATGTGATGTTCGAGAAGGATGCTCCGTATCGTGGACCGCTAGAACTTCATACCGCAGACAGACCTTCCACAATATGCTATCAGAGAATCTACAGTATTTTGGTCATATTGCTCGCCGACAACCAGACAAACTGGTTGTGGTGGGTAAGGTGGAGGGAAGGAGATTCCGCAGTCGAACACCTAGTAGTGACCAAGTGACCGCCCTATAACAACTGCCTTGAGAGAAGCCGAAGACCAAACCAGATGGAAGAAAATCGTCCATAAGTCTCGAAAACCATTCGGGAACCATCAGCAATGAAGATAACGACTAAGAAGAACAAAAGCGAACATTGATTCAAAAGATAATACAGTTCGGTGTCAGAGGTATGTAACTTTTTTATAAAAACAACCCAAAATCCAACACCTTCTTTTTATAAATAATATATCAACTACTTGGTTTGTCATAAACAACGCATTTGCGTTTTAGTAACTTACGAGGTATTGACACAAAAGTGTTTTTTTTTTTTTTGAAGAACGTCAATTACGCGGTTTTTGCTTAACAATAGAACTGAAACTAAATAAGATATACAAAAAAACCACTTATTGGCTGTAGACCTCGTTTCCCTGATTCCAGATATGTTAATAACTCAATTTCGCTAAAAACATAGATTATGTTGCTTATGATAAGGACGGCAGTACTATTATCCATATCAAGTACAAAAATATGAAGAACCTTTTTACATACCGTGTTTCTTATAATTTATTAGCTACGCTGGGTTTGTTGGCGGCGGCGGCGGTGGCTGGGTCTCCCCAGGCGGCGGATTCGTCGGCGCGCCTTCACTTGGCGGCGGCATGTAACCCCTATAAAAAAAAAGATAAATAAATTGCTGTACGCTCAGATTACAAAACAATAGGATGTACGTCCTTCGTCTCCTGCCTGATTAAAGGCCACAATAGACGGAATTGGTGTGCAAGAAAGGGCACCGAGCAATTATACGGTACGCGTTTCCTACAATTCGTCTCGTATACCTAACAATAATGTATAAATAAAAAATGAATATATAAGGAAGAAAAAAAGAAAATAAATTTATTTAGCATAAACACATGTTACAAACACAATATTATGATTTTATGTTTAAAGTGTATTGCGCTGAAAATGGCCCAACTCAGCAACTACTACGGCGGAGCCACAGCGCTAGTTTTCAGTGGACCTTTTTCGAAGTGGCCGATTTAAAAATAAAATAAGAAATAAATTTAAAAAGAAAATAAAAAATTGTGGATGCGCATTAAAATAAGTATAACAATAACTTAATTAGTTTAGAAAAATAAAATTGCCGTATGCCTGCAGCGTTTTCAATTACCTCACTCTGTCTTCATGTATTTTATGTTTCTCGGTGCGTTATACAAATAAAATTTCTCCAGGCGTATTTTGCAGTATTAAAATGTGCCCTCTAAGTTTATTTTTGAAAGTATAAACGGATTGTGAAGAACGAAGTATTGAAACTGCCTTTATAAGTCGAAGTTCTATGTTTTGGAATGCAGAGTGGAAACCTGCAGGTGCGTGCTCTTTTCGTGCATATAACACGTTCGTGGAGGTAACAAGGATTTTTGTTTTTTATAACTCCAAGAATTAGCTAAATGGGAATACCTTAGCGACGACATGTTTAGCATTTTAGCCTCATTATAAAACGGGGATATATGACTTCGCGGGAGTATACGAAAACAAAATCGAGCGCATGCATTTTGCACTCTCTGTACTGGTCTTTTAGTTCTTATCAAAAGCATTTAAATGTAAAAACCCATCAAATATCCAACTGTTGCTTTGTATGTTGAATGTGGGATCCTATCGGTTCGCGGTCTGTTTCTGCTCGGAGTTATGGTTCTGACTGTGAAGTGACTTCTTCTCCTAACTATTGTAAACTACTTAAAAAACCTTTAAACTGCATCTACCAGCTATAAACACCACTTTCGCTGGAAGATTTCCAAAATTCATGCATCCGTATATCTAGAACTAAAGTTAACTCATTGTGTAGCGTCAAGCTCTGCTCAAACTCAGAACTTAAGCACTCGACATACATTTAGATTTAAGTGAGGTGAAATCTCAACTCATTATCAACAAAATATAAACAAATGGAAGTTGCATCTATAAGTTTTTTTGTAATTTATAACTAGTATGCAAGGGGTAGCTGATAATTTTTTTTTATAAAACTAAAATAAAAAATTATTACTTAATATATTTCAATGAACGGAATATAGCAATGAAAATTAATATACCTACGGTCTACTTTATTTTTAAAACTTTCGAATTTCGAAAAACAAATGCCAAACAAAAGTAAATTTACATTCGATAAATTTACTGCACGCCACTATCGACAACAATGTAGAGCAATTAGCTGCTTCAACATAGTTATGAATTAATACGAAACTTGATGAGCGTCAGGATAAACGTCTAAACGGCCATAATAGAGTTTTTTTTCTTTTTTTTACTGTAGTTTTCGTTTTATGTAATGAAGGAGGCAAACGAGCAGACGAGATATTTGCAACACCAGATGAGCTGCCTACGCGTTGCCAGCCTTTGAGAGCCGTGCAAACACGCTTTTTGAAGAACCCCATGTTATAGTGCAAAGGGAATACTTCAGGAGGAAGATCATGCCACACCTTGCAGGTTCAAGGAAGAAACGAACGAGATGCCCGCGTGGGCTTACAATGCCAGGCATCTAAGATGTGGGGATGGACTCTACTCCTTTGGCGGGAGGTGCGATGGTAGAAACGAGATGGTGGCACCAGTTCGAAAAGTTCCCCAGAGCACTTCCCATTATAAAGACGGTAGAACACACACAGAGAGCCAACGTCTCTCCGTAAGCTAAGGGGCTCCATACCGTCTGTGAGTTTGAGATCATCGATAATACGAACAGCCCTGCGTTGGATGGAGTCAAGTGGATCAAGCTGGTATTTGGGAGCTCCTGCCCAGAGATGCGAGCAATAGTCCATATGGGGCCGTACTTGTGTTGTATATAACAAAACTCGGTGACCTGGAGAGGAGAGAAGTACTGCTTCGCTCTATTGAGCACTCCGCTTTGAGCTTTTTTGAAGCCAGTTTGGCTTTGCTCTCCAAATGAGTTAGTGTAGTGAGTGTAGTTAATAAATTCACCTCAATTTCAAAGTCGCATTACTAGAGCTCGTGCCGGAAATTGAATTTACTACCAATATGAGATTTATATTAAGTTCTAGTACATTTGTAAATCAGCGCTGAAGGCCAGCGCCGGCGACGTAACACATGTTATACACGTATGACAGGTATACAATTGCCTTGTGACGTCTTCGCGAATGCTTTTCAGGCGGATGACTGTGAAAAAGTGATAACTTTGCATTTCCAAATAAATACGGAACTGGGGTGCGAAGCCTCGTATCGTCAGACAGAGATCAAAACGATTTCGTTATTCATAAAATTAGAAATAAATTCAAATTAAACATTTATCGCATTCGTTCAACGTGATAGACGCTGTTAGGTGACGTCTTCAAATTTTTCTCTTCTTTAAATTCCATTCATCATAAGCTATTTCAAAATTAGAGAAACGAAAAAACAGAAACACAACAAGCAGCATTGTCAGTAGCTATGACTACCAACGATGAAGAGCGCACCTACAGAACAATATAACGAGTTTTATGTAAAAAAATCCATCAAAAATCCAAACGATTTTAAATAACTTTTTCACCCTGCTTAGACCACCAGATGTAAAAAAACTTAACATTGAAGTTACATTCACATAGCATCTTGACAAGAGACAAACAAACAAAACATTAGAAACGTTATCAACCATATGCGAACTATACAAGAACAAACACATGCCTTTTATTCTCATGGGAATGAAAATGAATTGCTTCGTTTGTATTTAAGAAAATCTCCTTTTTCAAATTGCCTGTAAGTAATCATTATTAAACAATAGATTTTATTTTCTTAGTTGTACAAGGTAATGAAATATTATCTTACAATATTGGAGTTTCAAAATGGTCACCGTAAATATATGTAACGATTTCCCGCGAAAAAATGTCAAAACATTAAATTATTCAAGAAAAATTACAATGTAAGATCCAGTGATGGCAGTATGGCTCATTACACGCCATTGCCTGTCCTGAAGGATAGAAATTTTACTACTACATACTTGGTACTAATATCATACAAAAAAGGTATGACAGTTCTATGTAACGTAACGATCAAAAAATGTTTATAAACATAGAATATAGTTCTTGTGGTGAGCAGTCAGGGTTTAAAAAGAATTTAATTCTCTGAGAAAAGATCTGATAGAAGTTGATTGGCTGAATTTTGGTCACATTAGAAAACTACCCTGTGGAACCGCGAATCTATGACTTCAATAATTTCTCAGATGTACATTTGTGAATATTTCGTAGTTAATAAACAACTCTAGTAAACGTTGAAGGTAAACATGGTGATGAAACTCCATGCTGGTTTCGAAGTACGGTTCCGACCCTAAACGTTTAAAATAGAGGTAACCTGTGCCCAGCAATGGCATGGTCAATGAAGTGTTGAATGTAAATTAATTTTACACTTATTAAGTGTACAACATCTATAAAAACACAAAAAATGAAATATTAAATAGCTTTTAATGAAAGAAATACGTAACATCAGATAATGTAGATATGTAGATATAAGTTAAAAATGTAGATAGAATAATAAAATAAGTTGTTCAGCTGGCCATAATTAATTAAAATTTAAGTTTTTTATTTTTAGAATTTTTCGAGACAATGGAAATAATTTTTATCATTTGTTTATGATTTATTAAGACCCCACGCGGATAGCGTTTGAATCTTATTAAATGTAACAAACTATCCTACAAGGTCCTGAATTTATGTACAGAACAAAATTTTCAAGAAACAGATCGGTCCTAATCTACTGTACTAAAATGGAATAAAAGTAGCATTCAATTCTTTTTTGGCCAGTCATCGTTGTCAAATATTTCCAAACTTCTTTTTATTAATCAGAATCTTCAATTCGGAAATCTGGTAGGTCCACTTCTACTTGAATCGTGGGCTTTTTGTTTCCGCTATCACCGTCTCCAGAAGGCACGCCTTCCCTGTCAAAAAATGGTCTTTGTTTTAGGATTTGGCTGAAATTTAAATCCGAAAAATAGATTCCTACGTATCGAATGACATACAACTATAAGACATTGTAAAGTTTTTCTAGAAAAGTGTTTCAAAAAACATTGATAATTTCGTATTTTATAAAACAATGAAAACATTAAATAAAAATAAACATACCTTCAAAAAAATTCAAATCAAAATGTCCACCAATAAATAGGTATGTAAAAATACCTTGTTTACAGCGTGAAAAGCGGTATTTTATGATGCCAAATGGCCTGGCATTGGCAGAGTGGTACAATAATCTATGGCTTAGCAACCATCAGCTGATATCTGGATTCCCGCCAAAATTACACGATACATACGAGAATTGGTCACTTGAGTGTTTGTGTCATTGAAAATGTTACGAGTTTTTCAATAACAAACAATTTATTACGAAAACTTGTCAAGGTAGCGACTGTGCGCTATTTATAAAAGTTTTTTATATGACATACACACGTTTTTTATATCATAGACACGTTTTATACACTATGTATGATATAGTATTGTTTTCATACAACTATTGAACTACGAATATCACAATGAACTATTTTAGTACCTACTGTAGTTTTTTTAAAGTGGTGTAGCAACTTTAGTAATAGTAATAATTTTCTTTCGACTGAATCCATGGTCATGTAATAAATTAAAAATAATAATAAATATTTTTATATCAAAAATATTTAGTTGAAAAAAAGGGCGGGTTTTTGTAATCACATTGCGAACTA